GAGAGAGAGAGAGAGAGAGAGAGAGAGAGAGAGAGAGAGAGAGAGAGAGAGAGAGAGTTGAGACTTGGTGACATTGGACTGATATTTGGACAGAGGCATTGGGGGGGCCATATTTTTGGAGACTTCATGGATGACATTGAGTTGACGACATCTCCATATTCTCCCCCTTCAGCTCTTCTCCCTCCTCATCTGTGGATGTTGTTTTGGCACGGCACTCTTCTTCTATGTATCCAGCGCCACACCCTCTCACCCTACTGATGAGGATGATGAGTTGCAGTCCGTCTGAGTGACTGAGTCAGATCTGGGTGCATCAATCTTCTGCTGCATTGTATTTTTCTCTTTCTCCTTGGTCGGTTCTTCCCTCCTCATCTGTGGATGTTGTTTTGGCACGGCACTCTTCTTCTATGTATCCAGCGCCACACCCTCTCACTCTACTGATGAGGATGGTGAGTTGCAGTCCGTCTGAGTGACTGAGGCAGATCTGGGTGCATCAGTCTTCCGCTGCATTGTATTTTGCTCTTTCTCCTTGGTCGGTTCTTGGATTCTGCACCATGCCCATCTGATTATCTTCAGGCATGCGACAACCATCTGGACCCGAACACCTGGACCATCTCGACCGGAATAGCTAGACCATCAGGACCTGAACAGCTGGACCATCTGGACCTGGACAGCTGGACATCTGGACCCGAACAAGTGGGCCATCTGGACCCGAATGGCTGGACCATCTTGACCCGAACAGCTGGACCATCTGGACCTGTGCAGGTGGACCATCTGGACCTGAACAGGTGCACCATCCGGACCGGAACAGCTGGACGATCCAGTCCCAAACAGGCAGAGCATCTGGACCCAAACCACGGGATAATATGCATGCTATAGAGATCCAGACTCATGTCTGCCAGGCATCCAGATGCCACATCTCCAGACCAAACTAGACAGAGCCGGGTGACAAGTGCAGCTTGGTTATGGTTCGGTCCAGATGAGTCGGGATATGAAATACATGGTGGGGGTTCTTCTTTTTTTTTCCCCCTCTTTCTTTTTCAGATGTTGCCCCTTGCTGACCTTGGAATAGTAATCCAACGAAGAACTGTTACAAAGTAATACAAACTCTTCCAAACTACCGTCATTATAGCTGCATTTGGGGCAACTTTCAGTCCAGATGCGGCTATAATGACCGGGTCATTCTATTGGGGTGAAGACAGTAGTAGGGAGTTACAAAGGTATTAACTTATGAGGAGTTATTACGAAGTGATGTAGACATTCTAGCATATTAGGCTCCCCACTGTCGGACTAGCATATAACGTAGTACACAACAAATATTAGGCTGTCAACTGTCCAGCCTATTCGGATGCTGGCACCACTCCTTCCAAAATATCCCCAAAAGGGCCAAAACAGGTTTTTTCAGGGGAGCTCCCAGACCCTAAGCAAGGGGTCTGCTGCACCCCCTCCCCCCCTTTTCCGTTTTGGCTGTTTAAATGGCATGGATCAAGTCCTGCCCCGACAGGGATCCAGACGTGTGGCATCGGGATAACCAGACAGTCTGGATGTCTGGATTGCAACCAGACACGATTGTTTAATGTTATAATGACAACAAATGAATCCATGATCTCCCAGTACATTGGGTTGAGACTCCGAAGTCTGAAGCTTTGAAAATCCATTCCGAATGTTTAGCTATCGGTTTAGGGTTTTCACAATGCTCACATAACATTGACACTCGATTGCTCGTGCTCGCAAGAGGACCTCCCAATGAGCTTCTCCCGTAGCTTTTGTAAATGCTGATGGCACTAGCAGAACCTGCATGAAAAAAACACGCAATGGCCGGAGTGCAGGCATGCATATACTTCATAAAAAAGGACGAACCGGAAAACTTTGAAAAGTTCATATCACATTTTTTTTCATATTGGATTTGGCGGACAAACAGGGGGATGAACAACACATCGAAGTCGTCAGCCAGAAGCCCGACGGACACATCGAATAGTACCTCAGTGCAAAACACTTCAAATGAATATAGACCACTCAGGGAGGAAGGGAACACCACCAGCACCATCGCAACCTTGCTGATGCATGATGTTTTAAAGAGGGGGGGGGGGGGGGGGGGGGGGTGTCAGAGAACACACTCGCATTATTGCATTCATCTGATTCCATCAGGATCCCGAGGGGTGTAACTCAATCTTCTCAGGATTCGGCCAAGGGTCAAGGAAAGGATCAGGCTACTCCGGGAGATAAACACAAGCAACCTGCAGGGAGAATGAAATGGATACCAGTAACAAATGGGCCTAAAAAGATAGTTCCAACAGTCCCAACAGTCCCAACTCTGCCCGGTCCACAACCGTCGAGCTACCTTTGTCTACAGGACACAGAACAATGTATAGAACAGGATGATTCTGACGGTTCTGATTCTGAAATAAAGGAAGACACGGGGATGACGGTTATGTCTTTGAAGTCTACCAAAAGTTCCAAAAGTAATAAAACAAATAAAAATAAACAGAAGAGAAAACAACTTACCGAAGGGGGGGGGGGGATCTGAATTGACAGAGAAAAAGACTCCTACTATGGGGGATGCAGGTGAAGAACACCAGTGTGGTCTACAGGCGTCAGAGCAGGATGAGCCACCTTCGATGACCTCAAAAGAGGATCCTGCCTGGTGCCAGACCCATTCCAGGGGGTCTTTGGATCAGCACCAATGGAAATCGACTCTCCTCTAGCTGATTTTGATATGGAGGATGTATCTACCCAACCACAAGTTGATTCAACAGAGGAGCAGAAAACACAGTCGCTGGCTGAGTGGCTGATAAAGAATTTGAAAATGAAATATGGGGAAGCAACAACAGAATTTTGGGACACATCCTACACCCAACTGATCTCATTAATTAATAACAGTCCGAGTTCACGAAACGTCCTACAGCAAGGACCACCGGAAGGGGTACAGTGGCCAGCGGTAAGTCAGCATATCCTAAGTGTTGTAACTAAGCTGTTCCTCCCTCCCCCAGTAGTGATTGTGAAAGTTACAAATCCAGAAAGTGTTGCAGTTCCTCATATTAATTCAGATATGGTAAAAGTCATACCTGGCACGCACTCTCGGGCTCTAGTATTAGAAAAAAAAAAAGAGGAAATTGGCCAGGTCCAACAGACAGAAGATACAGATTCCCACATAGGTCTAAAGGATAGTGGGATGACAGACGGAGTGACAACAAATTTACAAGAGAATATTACAAAATCAGAGAAAAATGAGAAAATCTTACCCCAGAAGAGCAGGCTTTGCAGAAAAAGGGGGAAGATCAGTTCAAGCCTTCAAGGCCAAAAGGAAGGAGAGGCCAAAGGAGGGTTTGACCCAGGGAAAAGGTAGAAACTAAGACAGATACTAGAAAGAGGTCTCCGTTTATGACTAACCTGTTCGCATACTCCAGACTGACCGTGCTTATGGCAGCCTGGAGGATGAGCTGTTCTTTTGAGAAGAAACAGCACAACTATGGCTACATGCAAGCCAGATCAACGATAATTGACACAATCAATGCCAAAACCCAGTCAGCTTGGAAGGAACTGCAGAACCAGCTAGCCGCTGAGCTGGACACTACGAAAAGACTGGGGCTGCGGAACAGATTTGCTGAAACTTGGACTGACCCAAATAAGAGACTCTGCAGTCTAAACGACGACCACACCCTCCCCTGGCTTCTCTCCGAGAGGTGGTGGGAACGATTACCGACGCACCATTTTCAAGTCCGCTATCAACCGACCGACTTTATCCTCGTCCAAAGTTGATCACCTGTCACTGTCACTGACCCAATACTGCTCTTCCCCTCCCCCCTCCCCCCTCCCTGCGCTTTGCAACCACCCCCTCCCTTGCCCATTTGCCCTCCTCACCCTTCCCCCCTACCCCACACAGATCACACACACACCCAC